ATCTGATCTGATCTGATTCGATCTGATCTGATCTGATCTGATTTTAATAAGAATAAGAAAAAATAAGAAAAAATAAGTTGAACGGAACGGGGCCTAAATCTCCTCAGTCCGAATTATATTTCTTACTCTATCTCAAGAGTGAACTTTAGTGAGAGAAAAATTGGATCCCCCTCCTCTATCAAATATCATCATATTTATAGAGGAGGATTTGTGACCCTCCCCTGTTCATCCATGGACAAAATAGGAAGCTCGTGGGAAGGTCACTGTAGATAATGGAAGCACTGTACAATCATAGAATTTAACAACTATAAGCCAAGACATGTACTGTTCAATCAAAGACCATAGATGGATATTCTCAATCCAATCAGTCCTGCAAAGTGACAAACATCCCTCTCACTGTTTGTCTCGTGATGGACGAACGGCGGGGTGGTCCCTCGGTCTTTGACATGGTTCACCATGCCTGAGATACTGGACCAATGTTTGTCAAGTAAGATGATATGACCGGTCACCTTTTTCTCAAAGGTTGTCCGGTCATTTCTTGAGCTCAACCCGTCTCTTTGGTCCTCTTGACTATCCTTTGTAACATGAAGTGACGAATTGGCTATCGCCCAAAATGTGACCGGTCACTTTTTTAGTGGAAGTGACCGGTCAACTTTTGACCCGTCCCAATTGAAGAGTTAACCTCATTTGGTGATTGATAAAAGTGACCGGTCATATTTGACCTGTCCCTTTCGGTTATCCGGGTCGGGTATAAGGATATACCCATCAAGAAGTCCTCCACTTACCGGCCTTGTGATGAAATCATCAAGGGCGGGAAGTATATTTCTGTTAACTTATCACGCTTTGAAATCATCAAGCATTTCCCTTTCAAGACCTGTCCTTCTTTAAAATATCAAGCCTTTCCTTATCAAGACCTGTCCTTTTTTGAAATCAATGTCATTCTTATTGACCTGTCCTTTTTCTTTGAAATCATCAAGTCATTCTTATTGACCTGTACTTTTGATACATCAAGCCTTTCCTTTTCAAGACCTGTCCTTCTTTGAAACCATCAAATCATTCTCGCTGACCTATCTTTTTGGATCATCGAGCCTTTCTTTTTCAGACCTGTGCTTCTTTGAATTATCAGGCCTTTCTTTCAGACCTTTCCTTTCTGGATCATACCCGCCAGAATCACCAAGTAGTATATTCAGACCTGCCATCAATGACATGTCCTTTTGGATCTGTGGTAGCCCAATCGTTGGGCTTGGCCTTTCGGTTAAGGAATTTCCCTCCAAAACCTTTCACCTTCCACATTCAAAATTCAAATTTCCCCCCTCACCATTACCTTATCCACGTGTCAGCTCCTCAGCCTCCCACCTGTCGCCTCGAACTCCAACCCTCCTCTCTCTCCTATAAATACCCCTCCAACCCATCTCATTTCTTCACTTCTCTTCTTCGATCTTTCCACTTCAACCGGTCAGCTTTCTCTCTCTAGCTCTCTTCCAAGTAAGTGCTTTAGTCCTCCTAGTCTTTCATTTCTTCCATCTTGTTATTCTTGACCGGTAGGCTAGAGTCATGTCGTCCTCTGATAGCCAGAATGTGTCCGGTCAGTCTTATGGATCGGGCTCTCAGCCCTCTTCCTCTTCCCACTCTGAATCTTCTCCTCCTCCTCCTACTCCTTTGATCCGTCGCCCCTCCCAACAGTCTAACTCTCAGGCCCGGGAAATAATTGCCCAGGAGCCTGTCCCTTTGAATCAACTGCCCGGTCGATTCAATCCCAAGGTCCTCAGCTGGGAGCAATGGGAAGAACGACTGGGATCTTTGGGCTTCCTAGCCCATGATGTTAGACCGGTCTTCAAAGAGTCTTCTAGGGTTACCAAAAAGGTTTTGGCAGAAGTCCGTACCATCCTCCCACCGGGCTACAAAGTCCTTTCCAAAACCACCTGGCCCAACATCATTAAACCTCACCAGGGAACCAGGTTGGGTTTCCATGTTGCTTCTCTGGAGGGAGGTATTATTTTTCCTCTTCGCCCCCTCCTTATTGAAATCTGTAAAAAGTTTCATATTTTGCCCGGTCAACTTACTCCAAACGCTCACCGGTTCTTAAATTGTTTTGTTAATATCTGTGAAAATCTGAAAATCAACTCTTCCCTTGAGCTTTTCCTCCACATGTACGAAGTCTTGCCCGGGACTAGTAACTGCCCGGGCTTCGTCTATTTCCATTCCCGCAATAAGAGGGGGTTTGTGACCGTTCTTCCCCCCAGCCATAAGAGATGGAAACAAAGATTCGTTTTTATTGAGTTTCCCTCTGACCAATTTCCTTTCACTAACCCTGAGTGGGCTGACCGGGTAATAAAACCTGAAAGGGTCCACCCGGAGCCTACCCCTGAGCTTGAGGTTGCCTGCGAGAAACTTCTCAAGGGTGATCCTGTGACCGGTAAGCCATACGCCTACGGTGGATGGGTATACCGGTTACCTAACCCGGATGGGGGTGAATCTGCGACCCATGACGCAGAAGATGACCGGGAAAACTCCCCGGATGGTCATGCTGAGGCCAGTTCTCCTCGTCCAGGTCGATCATCTTCTCTTAAGCTTCTTACTTTCATTTTCTTTATTTATGTACAAGACTTAAAAACTAACCGGTCATTTGTTGCTTTGTTCTTTTTCAGACATGAACTTCAACATGATGACCACCATCATCGAGGATGACGACGATGATGTCCAAGTCCTCCACTCCAACCGGTCTCCTCTCTCCAAGCCTCCTTCTCCTCCTCACTTCCCTGAAATGGATGGGGCCACAAGTGCCTGGTGTAGCCCTATCCATGAACAGAGCCAGAAGCTGAAATCTCCTCCAGCCACCCATCTCTCTGAAAGTGACCAGGTCCCTTCTCCTAAGAAGGATGTCAAGGCCAAAGGAAAAGGGACCGGTCATTCTTCCTCCCAGAAAAGGAAAGGTTCCCACAAGACTTCCAGGGGAAAGGAGGAAGAAGGTCAGGCTATCAGATCTGGAGGGGGAGTCCATTGAAGTGACATTTCTGTCCTTGGCCAAGAAACTTAGCAAGGTACCAACTCTGATTTTCCTCCTGGTTAAATTCTTTCCTTGCTTTTACTGATAAGCATGTTTTCCAGGCTGGAGTTATATCTGAAGAAGTTGGCCGGTCAATCGTTGAACCGAAGGACCAGGTTTCCAAGCTCACCCTCCTCCTTGACTCCGCTAAGTCAGAGATCAATGACCGGGTTGAGAGGGAGAAGAAGCTGGAAGAAGAGCTGATCGCTGAAAGGGACAGGTTAAAGGAGGAAAGGGCCAAGTTGGTGGAGGCGGAGAGGAAGGTGGCAGAGCTGGAAGATGCTTTGGCCCAAGCTGAAGAGACTGCCCGGTCAAAAGAGGAGGCCTTTCCTGATGATGCTGCGATTTGGGCCGCCTGCCATCACACTGAAGTTGCCCGGTCCATTCTCACCAATCCGGAGGACACCATGGATTTTTTCAAAGTCATGTATAAGGAACCGGAAGGTAAGAGAATGATAACAGATGTCGGGTCCTATGGGTTTCAGTGTGGCCAAAAGGAAGAGAGATCTCTTCTCTATGCCAGACTCCAGAGGAAGGACCCCTCTTTCGACCCGGCCAAGTTGAAGCTTCCAGCCCTATACAAGGAAGAGCCAGCTCCCCCCTTTCCCCTTGAGTAGGTTAGGGTATGTTTTCAAACACTAAATTTTCCCAAGGCCTGGGGGATGTCCGGCCTACTTTTGATTTGTATGAAACTTAATTCCTCTTGGCATGCCTTTATCTTTTACCGGTCGATCTGCTTCAATTTGCATGGTTGAACTCCTTTTCAATGCATGGTTATGATTGCTTTTCTTTTCTTTTTCTTGATCGCCTTTGAATGAATTTTCAAGTCAATAAAACTAACCGGCCTTATACCTTAGGAATCATTTTAAAGAACGTCCAGGCCATCTCATGTCCTGGTCTTGAAAACGTCCAGGCCTCATTGGCTTGGTTGACAATTTTCTTGAATATGCTTGATTCCAAGTCAAAAGAAGTAACCGGCTTTATCCTTTAGGAATGTCAGGGTCATCTAATATCCTGGTTAGGTGGGTTTCGAAGGTGTCCAGGTTTAGCAGCCCTTGTAAACGTCCAGGTCTAAACCTTTATTTCTATACCCCATGAAACGTCCAGAGCACCTCATGTCTGACTAGTTTTCTGGACCGGCTTATGTCTAGGTAGAGCTGCTACAAATGTCCAGGTCATTTCGTGTCCTGGTGTAGTAGGCTAAGTTGGAAGTTTTGAATGGTAAATAGGTGGAAGGTTTTGAAGACCACTTTAGACGCAAGGCTTGAAAACTTCCAGGTCATCTGATGTCCTGGTTTCTTGACTTGAAAACGTCTAGGTCGGTTTCTTCCCCGCTTGTCTTCTGACCCAGTCAACTTCCAGGTTAGAATGTGACACTCGTCTAGGATGAATTCTTCCTGACCAACTTCTAATGGCTTGGTTGCAATATGTAACCAGCATGACGTCAAATTTCCTGTCTAGGTGCCGGGTCAAAAATATGACCGGTCAAAAAATATTTTCTCCAGATTTGTCTGATTTCATCAAATCCGCCAACTAAAAAGTGATCGGTCACTTTCCTCAAAGTTGACCGGTCAAATTTTAATTTTTTTTTCCATTTGCATTTTCTTGCCAATCCAAAATATCAAAAAGTGACCGGTCACTTTTGACCATGCCACTTTCATTTACCCCTTTGGCCTGGATGTCATGCCTAACAGTAACCTTGCTCAAATTTCGAACGAATAATCCGAATCGGTTTTGAAATCATCAAGTCTCAACTTCAAGACCCGAACTTTCTTCGGAGATTTTAACCATGTCCTATGATCGCGAACCCTCTCCAAGGTTCAGCCTTCTTCCAGGAAACACCCTTCTTCCAGGGCCCCTCTTCCAGGTTTTATGTTTTTTAATGTGCCATTCTCTAATCATTAGGTTGACCTAGCCAACCCAATCTTCCCACGTGGGGGTATGCCGGTGAGAACCCGCCCTCATCCAATCCTACATGTCCATATGTTATGCGTTTGAAGTGAATTCTAGTCTTCCCTAGACCCTTCAATCCGCAAAGGATGGCTCATGCAAGACGGTAATTTTTTTTTTACTTTGGCATCTTTTTGCCCCTATCCAAATAAAAATTTGGTAGGGATCCATGTAAGTATGGACGCGAGTCCTCTTCCAGACCCAGCCTATCTCAAGGCCATACCTCAACATCAAGGCCCCTATCTCAAGGGTTTATCTCTTTTTTTTGACCTTTCCTCTTACATCAAGACATTACTTTAGTATTACTGACCCAGCAACACAAGTATCGAAGAAATCTCTTATTTATCATCAAAGGGGTATTACAAATATATGCCCTGCCAATTTGGCCTATCGGTAGAATTTCCTAAGGTGGTGGGAATTCCAGCACCTTTCCAACTCTCGACCTTCCATTGTTTCTAACTTGTATGTCCCAGGGCGTAATATTGTTGTTACCCTATATGGGCCTTCCCATTTCTTTGCAAGTTTTCCCCCGTCTCTGGGTTTGCTAGCCTCCCTTCGTCTCAGGACCTCATCACCCACTTGGAAATAACGAGGCCCTACCTTGTTATCTTGGTAGGCCTTGGCTGCTTGCTGGTATTCCGTCATTTTAGCCTCAGCGGCCATCCGCCTTTCTTCCAGCAAGTTTAGCTCTGCCAAATGGTTTTCCTCATTCCCTTTCTCTTCATAGACCTTCTCCCGAAAGTTCATTATTTTAGCTTCGATGGGTAGTCTGGCCTCACACCCGTATGTACGGACGAAGGGTGTCTCCCCTGTGGCCCTTCTTGAAGTGACCCGGTAAGCCTAGATGATATGTGGCAACTCCTCTAACTAATTCGTTCCTGCGTCACCCAACCGCTTTTTGATCCCATCGACTATTGTGCGGTTCGCATTCTCCACCGGCCATTCCCTTGCGGGTAGGCCACGAAAGCCTTGTTGTGAGTAATCCCGAAGTCCTCCAAGTATTTGGTGAACCCTGGATTCCGAAATTGAGGCCCGTTATCCGTCACGATGTTTCGGGGTGACCCGAACCGAGTGATGATGTTCTTCCAGACAAAGCGCTGGCACTGCTTGGTTGTGATGGTTGCATATGCCTCGGCCTCCACCCATTTTGTGAAGTAGTCGATAGCGACCATGACATACTTCTTTCTCCCTTGAGCTTGAGGGAAGTCCCCAATGATGTCCATCCCAAACCTTGCGAATGGAATAACATTGGAAACTGGGTGGTAGTATGTTGCAGGCCTTCCCGGAAACTTGTAGAATACCTGGCAAATCTTGCATCTCTGGACATATCTCTCGCAATCTTGGTTCATTGTAGGCCAGAAATAACCTAGCAAAATGATCCTTTGCGCGAGCGTCCTGGACATTTGGTGGGCGGCGCAGACACCCTCATGAACTTCGGCGATCACTCTTTCCGCCTCTGCCCTGGTCAAGCACCTTAGCAATGGACCACCGAATGCTCTTTTGTATATCCTTCTCTCAAGCATTTGGAATCTTGGAGCCCTCAACTTTACTTTTCTCACCCTGTCCTCATTTTCAGGGAATTGCCCGGTCATGTAATACCTGACCAGATCATCCATCCAAATGTCATCTGGCTCCACTCGATCTGGATTGGGCTGTCCATCTTCCTCAATCAGGCTAACAGAAAGCCCTTCAATGCTAGCCTTTTCTAGCATCTCAATCCTGGCCAATTTTGAGACATGTTCCGGGGCTGCTTGCGTCAATTTTGATAGCAAGTCAGCATCGGTGTTCTCCCCCCTAGGGATTTGTTCCATCACATACTCAGCCAAGTCCTTCAATAGTGCCTTTGCTAAGTCCCTGTACTTTTGCATCTTCTCTCCCTTGGCCTCCATGTTGCCATTGATGTGGCCTACCACCAAACTTGAATCGGATTTGATTCTGAGGCATGTGATTTGTAGGGTTTTGGCTAGTCTCAGACCCTATCAATGCCTCATACTCCACTTCATTGTTTGTGAGCTTGAAATTAAAGATCAAGGCATGATATACCTTGAACCCTTCCGGAGTTGTGAATACTACGCCTCCCCCGTAACCTTTCGGTCCAGAGGCTCCATCTACCGACATGGACCACCAAGGTTCGGTGATGGCCCTGGCCGGTTCCTCTTCCTGGTGACCCGTCATCTCCACAAGAAAGTCAGCCACAACCTACCCTTTTATCGCCGTCCTCGGACGATATTCAATGTTGAATTGGGTAAGCATCATGGCCCATTTGATCATCCTTCCCGATGAAGTGGAATCCCTCATGACCGTGCCCAATGGTAGGTCGGTCAATACGACAATGGGATGGGCTTGGAAGTACGACGTGAGTTTCTTTGCTGTTATGAAAAGTGCATACCCTGCCTTCTCCTTAGGAGTGTACCTACTTTCTGCCCCATTTAAGGCCTTGCTTACATAATAGATGGGCCTCTGGACCCCATCATCCCTCATCAAGACTGAGCTAACAGCCATTTGAGTAACCCCTAAGTAGAGGTAGAGGATCTCCTTTGTTTCTGGCTTGGACAAGACAATATCCGAAGTCAGGTATGTCTTCAGCTCTTCGAATTCCCTGGCACATTCATCATCCCACTGGAAGGTGTTGGCTTTCTTTAAAACCTTAAAGAAAGGCAAAGCCTTCTCTGCCGACCTGGACAAGAATCGGTTTAAGGCCGCCAAGCGCCCTGTTAACCGCTGGACTTCCCTTACCGATGTTGGGGGTTGCATCTCCATAATGGCCTTGATCTTCTCAGGATTTGGCTCAATCCCTCTCTTCGTCACCATAAAGCCCAGGAACTTCCCCGTCCTCACAGCAAAAACACACTTCTTCGGGTTAAGTCTAAGATTATGCCTAGCCATAATCTTAAAGCATTTTTCCAGGTCCTGAGCATGTGTGCCGCTTGCCCTGCTCTTCACCAGCATATCATCGACATAGGCCTCCATGGTCCGTCCAAGCAAAGGCCTGAACAATTTGTTGACCATTCTCTGGTAAGTTGCCCCTGAGTTTTTCAACCCAAAGGCCATCACCTTGTAACAGTATGTGCCGTCCGGAGTGAGGAAGGCCGTCTTCTCTTCATCATCCTCCGCCATGAAGATTTGGTGATACCCCTTAAAGGCATCCATGAAGCTAAGCAGCTCACA